AAAAAAAAAAAAAAAAAAAAGCTGTTTTTATCTTGACTGAGGGCCGCTGCTCATAGATGTTAAAGCAGGGGAACAAAGCTTTGGCTCCTCATTTGTTCGTGCCTGATGAAGTGCAATTTGACCTGGAAAGCTGAGATAAAAAGCCACATATCCATGTTTCATCGAGACATGAGAAAGTGTCCAGCTTTTGAACCTTTGTTCAAAATGAGGTACTGAGATTTTTTAGAAGATAAGAGTCTGCTTCTCCCAGGGGTGTGTGCCCCAGCCCTGCTGCTAGAAGCAGTGTGGTGCTGGTGTAGAAAGGCTTCCTGAGGCCTCACTGCCTTTCACTTGCCACGTGCCCCTGGGGTTGCTGCAGTGATTATGCCAGCCTCCAGGAAGCTTTTAGCTACTCCCTTCCCTGAGCCTCCTCAGAGGCAAGGTGCAGGACCACCTTTAACAATGTAGGACTTTGGTGTTTGACCTCAGTGTCACCTGGGCTGATCCTGTCTCTTTAAAGAGCTCGTTCTTGGGGAGGGAAGCAGCAGGACCTCCCTGCTCTTATTCTGCCCTCATCCAGTGACTCTCAGCACAGTGGGCTCTGGTCCACGTCACTGGTTCAGTCTCATGATTGGGCACGCAGTCAAAAGACTGCGGAGGGAGACTATGCAAGTGGTTCCCACCTGGAAGAGCTGGGTAAAAGGGGAGAATTTTGAAAAGAGGAAAAAAGGGCTACTATTGTGAGCTTAAATGGAGACTCAGGCTAGGTCAGAGCAAAACTGACCCATCCAACAAGTCACTGGGAGAATGGGGGTGGCTCCAGGGGGGCCTTGAGTTCCAGGCTCAGGGACTTCTTCTTTGTCCTGTAGGGCAATGCACATTGACCACCTGAAGCTCATGCTCCTCACCAGAGAATCAGATTCTGTGGATGAGAGGAGGGCCTGGGTATATGTATGAATGAGTTTCCTGAATGATTCTGTGGTGATGGTCAGGACCGCCTTGGAGAATCCCATAGGCCCATCCATTATTTCCCAGAAGTCTCCTGGGCATGGCCCACAACCCCTGTGCCTTCTAAACACCCTCTCCTTCCCGCAGCTTTCCATGGACACAGCCTAGAGAAGAGACTGCCGACCCACTGCCTTGATGACATCACTCACGCGTGCCTTCCCAGCCCCGTGCCGGCAGCCATCAGTCAGTGGCCTCTCCCAGATCACCAGAAGCCTGTACATCAGCGGTGGGGCAGCTGCCAACAACAAGCTCCTGTTGTCCAGCAACCATATCACCGCAGTCATCAACGTCTCCGTGGAGGTAGCGAACACCTTCTATGAGAACATCCAGTACATGCAGGTGCCTGTGGCTGATGCGCCCGTCTCGTGTCTCTATGACTTCTTTGACCCCATTGCTGACCACATCCATTCGGTGGAGATGAAGGAGGGCCGCACACTGCTGCACTGTGCCGCTGGCGTGAGCCGCTCAGCTGCCCTGTGTCTTGCCTACCTCATGAAGTACCATGCCATGTCCCTGCTGGATGCCCACACGTGGACCAAGTCCTGCCGGCCCATCATCCGACCCAACAATGGCTTTTGGGAGCAGCTCATCCAGTATGAGTTCCACTTGTTTGGCAAGAACACCGTGCACATGGTTCCTTCCCCGATGGGAGTGATCCCAGACATCTATGAGAAGGAGGTTCGCTTGATGATCCCACTGTGAGCCGCCCTCGCAACCCCCTCATTGGGGTCAGCAGTATAGATCTGTTGTTGATCCTGTTCCAAGATCTGAACTTGAACATTCCACTTCTGTTGATACAAGAACAAACCAGATGATGCCTTTAAAGGGCAAGTAGAAAGAAAGGTTGCTGCAGCTCTTGACCTTGTAATCCAAATCTTCAAAGACCAAACTCACTAATTGTAAGTGAAGATAAGTTTTCTACCCTGTGAGGGGTAACTGAGGGCTACTGGCCAGAGGTCGGATGAGGCGGGTGATACCTTGGATGAAGAGCCCAGTACAGAGAGCAGGCCTGCAATCCCGCAGCCCACCCCTGGACTGACCAGCCCAGAAAGGAGTCTGCCGCAGTGCTCCGTTGCTCCTTCAGATTCAGAGCTACAGCCTTAAGCCTCATAGCACACCTGAGCTTCTCAGGATTGGTGCCAGTCTCCTGGGTAAATAGCTTCCAACCATTCCCTGGAGCCCTGGGGGCCTCAGGTAACTTCACATTCACCTTCGTCACATTGGCCCCACTCTAGTTTTCTAGATAGGACTGATGTACAACATAGTATTCAAAGAAAGTATTCCACTGTATAAATTTTGGGAAAAAAATTTTTTTTCTGAGCGCTATTGTATGGGGCAAGGTCTAAAAGGGCCCAAGGCTGTCTTCCACCAGCCTTTGAGAAAAGAAGGTGTTCATTTCCTTCTTCAGGGCTCGTGAGGAAAGCAGGCCTGACATCAGGCCTCGAAGGTCCTCTCACAGGCCTTGGTTTGAAAAGTTAGAACTTTACACCACAACCTAGCTCCGTCCCCTCCTCTCTTTGTGACCTGGTGCCTTTGGGAGCCTCAGTATCCTCATCTGTGAAGACAGAACAATTCCATAGCACCAGGCCTAGCGCATGGTGTGTGCTTCCTGTAAAGGGCAGTTTTTGCCCTGAATTGTGTACTCTTGGCCCTGTTGCTCCCAGCTCAACACAGTTAGCCTCATGAAGATATTTCTCCTGGCTGTGCATGGCCCTTTACTGTTTACAAAGTACTCTTCCAGAAAGCCACCCCCCGTGAGGAAGAAATGCTTTCAATCCTACCTCAGGAGAGGCCTAGACTTAGAAGCCTTTTTAGGGTTCCCACTGTGTCTCATCCAGAGTGACCTAGGATTTCTGAAGCAAAGACTTGAGTCCAGCTCTCCCGCAAAGCCCTTGTTTAGAATCGCTGGCCGTTACAGCCAACAGCCCACTCTGGCTGACTCCCAGGATCCACAGGGGCGTATGTGAAAGGGACAAGGGAGTGGATGCCACCCCTAGGCCCTGGAGCCCAGGGTTGCTTCGGATGCTTCAGTGCTGTCATCTGGCTCAAGACCAGCTATTCTAATCCAGGGCTTTTGAGATGACATGCAAGAGAAGCAATTACAAGACTTCACTTGACAGTTTGACACTGAGCTGTGTGTCCAAAGCCCAGTGGAGCCAGGGGCCCGCGGTCAGAGGAGAAGAAGGAAAAAAATCACTGTTCTAGGGCTGGTGTGGCAGAGCCCCCACAATCCGATCATTCTGGTAGAGATCCAGGTAGAGAATTTCTTTGAAAGCATTTTTCAAAAGAACTTTATTAGATACATTTTCTTCATTGTTGTGCATTCCAAATTAACATATTGTATAGTTAACTGCTTTGGGTGTGCAGTTCTGAAGGTTTTGTTTTGTTTTTTGATTCT